AACCAACATATGAACGGTTTTTTGGTTTACTTGGTCGACAACTTTGTATATTAAAAAAAGAATATGTTGAATATTTTGAAAAACTTTTTCAACATCAATATGAAATTGTTCATCGTCTTGAAAATGTTAAATCAACAAATGTTGCCAAATTTTTTACACATTTACTTACTGCTAATGCTATTTCATGGAGTGTATGTATTCATTTTTAATATCAAATGATATTTATTTTTTTTCTTTCTAGGTACTTCCTTTGTATTCGTGTAATTGGAGAAGAGACAACATCACCATCACGTGTTTATATTAAAAATTTATTTATGGCAGTAGTTGAATTTCTTAGTTAACTAAAATTAATCATCGTTCAACTGATTCGTAAGTTTTCGAAAGATAAAATAATAAAAATTTCTCTCTTGCTTTCTATTTAGAACATCGACACAATATTTTCAAGATCTTTTTCCATATGATAGTCCGAACAATACATGATTTTAAATAAATTTTTTTAAAGGATTTAACTTAGATGGATTGACAGAAAACAAAAAAAGTTCTTATCAAATATGTTTAACAAATGATTTATGTTCAGAATTTGTATTTTTATAAATAAAAAAGTCGTTATTAATCGATAAAAAACATAATAAACATGCTGCTTTCATCGTTAACTGTTGATGTTGCATTTCTATTTGCATTCGATTATCATAAATTCTTTCAAATAAAAATTTTTCTTGTTCAATTGGTTCAAATGATAAAGAAGAAGAACCATCGACTTCTTCTTGCTGTTGTTGTTGAATACAAGGTTTTTCTTGAAGAATTTCTTGTTTTTGAACAACATTAGAAGAATTATTGGGTTTATTTCAGAGATGCCAGATGTTCCGGAAAATCCGGAAAAATTCCGGATTTTCGAAGTTTTTCCGGAATCTTTCCGGCTTTCGGATTTTTTCCGGATTTCAGCCTTTTTTTATTCCACTTATATTTCACTTGTTTTTAGCATTCTAACGAATTGTTAATGATTTGGTCGAGGTGTAATGTTTTCTTCTATTGGTCTTTCTAAGGATGATTTTTATCCTCAATTCCATGTAGTAATGCATTTGTTGAAAGTGTTTTTCAGCAATGAAACATTTATACGATGATAAACGAAATCATCTGTCAACAAAACTTGTTGCAGTTGAATTGAAAATTCGTTTTAACCCATCTTCATCATGTACAAAAATTGATAACTATTTTTTATCAAAACCAGAACTACTGAAACTTGTTCAATCCAACGAGAAATATTGTATAAAAAAACAACGTATTAATTAACTGCAAATTCTATAATTTATAAGTTGTATTCAATAATTTACCTATATCTAGATGTTTGTTTGTTTTTATTGTAATTAAAAAATATTTTATTTTGTTTGAGATATATAAGGTAATGGATAACATGATTGTGAAAGACGTCCTGTATGCGACTAAAACTGATCCTCAAAGACCTTTCCGGATTTTTCCGGATTTCAAAAAAAAAATTCCGGAATTTTCCAGATTTTGACATTTACATTCCGGATTTTTGACTTGTACATCTAGCATCTCTGGTTTATTTTCAATATCTTCTGAAGGATTTAGATTTTGAACAGAAACTGATGATAGACGATTTGCTAGATTTTTTAATGTTTTCTTATATTCATCATCTAAAGAATAATTCAATAAAAAATCATAGAAGAATTAGAAACGATATAATCATTCAATAGATAAATATATTATTTAATTGAAATGAATAAACAATTGTTGGTAGAGAATTTAAACTAACATAAATTTCCATTGGAACATCAGATTTTCGAATCTAAATCAAAAATAAGTATTATAATCGAAGAAAATGTTCACAAATTTTTGAAATCTATTAGATGACTACTGTGGATAGATGAGCTTTTTTAAAGTTTATCAACTGCAGGAAAGAAATCGAATCAGGAGAATTGTTCCTAGCAGCTCCTTATGTTGATAGAAGTAATCGAAAAAAACGAGATATTGTTTCGGCTTTTCTAGTTCAATTTTTTTATTTTTTAACAAGTTTTCTTGATCACATAGTTAGCGGACAACATGGAAGAAGATTAAGATGATATACCAGAGTCTGTCCAAATTCCTTCCCAACTTGCCGAACATAGTCAGATTGAAAGACGATTTCAGCACAACGATTGTCGATGGCTTGTTGACCTTGTGTAGCGCCTAAAAGTTCGGCAATCATTTCCGCAACAATATTCGTATCATCTCCCTTCCCCCATTTGTATTGCTATTTCAAGTGTTTCAAATGTCATCCGTTTTGCAGCGATAACACCAACGATCATCGCTAATGTATCCACACAAAAGAACGTTCTACCATGACTTACATCTAACAAGAGTTCATTGTTAATCTCATCAAGTTTTTCCAAGTAGCGATGGATTCGAATACTCAGCAGATCTTTTTTGATAACGAGATTGTATTTCGACTCATATTTGACGGAAAGTTGACGGACATATAGCAGAAAGGCCTTTCTTTCGACATCAGACGATAACAAATCATGTTCGAAGATGAATACACATAGATAAACGTAGATGAGTGCAGTAACAATTGTAACCGGACTCGCGTGTGTCATTCAACAGACTATTTCAACTAATTCATCATCAATATTGAGGTAACAAACATGGAAACAGAAGGCAAATGGTGTCAACTTCATAATAACATCATTTCCAGTCGATGGACCGCCGTTGTTACAATATGTATAGGATCCTTGAGCAATTCTTTCAATTGCACTTTTGATTCCATTACCCCAACCATCTATGCAATCCCACCATTCCCGTAGATGTTCATCGACAATACTTGTAATCAATGGCGATTTTTCGGCATCGGTACCATCATGAAGATGTCTCGCAATTACATGCATAATAGTGAGAGAGAGAGAGTTGTGTTGCATCTCCCCATCAACCTGCTAGCCATTCATTAGGAATGTATGGATTGCGACCAGCAGCATTGACAAACAAAGATTCGTTTTTGTTGAGTGATATCTGAATTTCGGCGATTTGTTCTGGAGTAAGATTTTTGAATGAAATACCCATAGCGTCTCCAACAGCTATACCAATTACCATACCAAGTGAACGGTCAATTATTTCATTTGATTGCAACGACATTGGAATCAAATAAGTTTTAAATATGTGCTCGACTAACAGTCTGTTTTTTATATATAAGATTCCATTAGATCATTTCAATCTATTGGAAGAAAAATATTAAAAAAAAAAAGAATGGCAAAGGATTTATGAGAAAAATACCACCTGTAAGAGTGAATCTGTTTTGTAGACTTCTACTATTACATATAACAGGGGATTAGAGAGCAGAAGCACACTTTGTCTGTTCTATCATCAGCATGTGACAAAACAATCAGAAATCAGCAGCACATCACAATTCAAAACGAATGAACGAATCTGGTTTTTTTATGCAGTCAACGAAATATCTCAACAAAATAAAAATTTATTTGTTTTCATAAGAAAGTTAGAATGAGTTCTATTAAACCAACTTAGATTCAGATAGAATTTGAAAGTTATCAGAATGTGTTTCCATCATAATGAATGATCTCTTCAGATGGTTATATTTAATCTATAGAAAAAAAATTATTCAATGTATCTTTTTTTATTTGCAACGGCGTACATTTCACTGTTGTTTGCTCTTCAACATGGAAAGATTTTCATATGTATTTTTGTTGGAAGTTGAGCAGTTGATTGTTGTAAAATATGATTTATAAACGCACTCTCATCTTCAACAAGTGTGAAAGCCTTATGGAAAACAATCTATCAAAATAAGTGATATCGTGAAGCATTTTCAATTTTAAGTATCTCTCAAGAGCTCTATATAGAGGATCTTTTGGTTTTTACAAATAAAATTTGCTCTTACTTGAAACGTTCGTAACCAATTTTTTCAATTATTTTTTTTTCAAACTTCTGCATAGGCTATGAAAATTTGATACAAGGACGTGAGTCATAAACCAAATATGCAAAAGAGCACCTACTATAATGTAGTTTTGTCTAGTTGAAAAGATACAGTAAGCACCAGAGATGGACACGGTTCAGATTTTTCAGAATATACACCGAACCGAACTGAAACCGAGAGAAATTTTAGGACCTCTGAACCGAACCGAAGTCGAAAATTTTCGAACCGAACCGAAAAGAAGAGGTTTTAAAATTCATTAGAGATCACTGGAATTATCTAATTTTTGCTCCAATTCATGTGTCCTATTTCAAACGATTGCTATCTGCACCGTTACTCTTATTATAAAACACTTCGTATCAGAAGGTCTCTCTATACCAAAAGATATCACGAAGAAGCGATATTTTAGACATAATAGAAAACTCTTCCTTAATTATTAAATTAATTGAGAAATTGTTACTTTGATTGATATATTTAATCGGAAATATTCACGATGTCCAAGATTTTCAGCTGAAAATTCATGAAGACACAACATAAAATAACTTCTGCATATTTTAATCCTTAAAAAAAATTTTCAGATCTGTCAAATTGCTGCAGTTTCTCGGGAATCTTTTTGATTATTGATGACTAAAAAAGAGGAATATAATAAAAGTTTCCTCCGTCATCAATGGAAAAAATTGATTTCTTGATTGCTTTGATTTCTTATGATTTCTGATAATTTCTATCAGAAGAAATCAGTTATTATCTACTTACTGCAAATCAATAGATATCATTGGAAATGCTTGGAAACTAAGAAAAACTACGAAAACTCATTAAAGAACAAAAGCAAGCTCAATGAAACATTGAAAATTATCGGAAAACAAATAAAATCAATAAAAACCATTAAAAATCAATGGAAATCAGGGGTTGAATTTTAAACCTCATTACTGGTGATTTTTAGTCAATTACAATGATTTCCATTGATTTCTAATGACATCTGACGGTTTCTGATTATTTTTCACCATTTCCTGTCATTATCGATATCCTTAGCGCATTATTATAATTTCTGATAGTTTCCAGTAATTCATAATGGTTTTTAGTAACAGAAATCGGTTTGTTTCCGTTTGTCTGGAATATTTATTCTCTTGACCATAACAGAATATTCGGCATCTTCTATTATAGAGTATCGAAGAAAGTTATTAGATTTACATAATTATCTATATAAATCCATATTTTTTCAGTTATAATTTATTCATACTCTATCAGTGTTAATAAACAAGAAACATCTGTATCATATTAAATTCAGTTTAATTGATGATTACTGGATACTTTTCTCCTTAAAGAATATGCTTAGTTTGTTTATGTTTTGTTTTTCTTAAAGAAGTAAATGTAAATATAAGAAAATATATGAATACTTTCATTATTATTACTAATAATATTTTTGTTATTAACTTTTCTTACTTTATATACAGAAATACTGATCAAGTTGCATCAATTTAGCTAAGAACCGAACCGTGCCCATCTCTGGTAAGCACGTATTTCACGCAGGCCTAATTATATGTCTTTTTCGAAATCAATTTAAATTCTTACTTGAGACAATGTCTACCTGTGTAGGTATAATTTTGCTTCTATATAGTCAATAATTAAGTTCCAGAGACGAAAACCAAATCGAGTCGAATCGAATATGATTTTTCTCTTTTTGATTCACTAGATAATTTCTTATATTCTCTTGAACATGATCAAAATAAATTACTTCATTATATGATTCAGATTCTTCTTGTCTCATAATTTTGCAAATTGTTTTAATCAATCTTTGTGAAAGGTCTAATAATCAGAATACTATTTGTATTTTCAGGGAAAGTGACACTTTCTATTGATTTGATCTTTTTCAACGGTCATTGACTTTTCTTATTTTTTTGTTTTTTTTACAAAATTAAAAGCCTATAGTACTGAAATTCGCGGAAATTAAGATTTAATGAATACAATGATTTTACAAAACCAAAATCAATAGACAAACAGAAGAAAACAATATAACATGTTTCAAGTAAGTAGGCAACTTTAGATGATTCAGCCGTTACTAAAAATGATCAAGACTAGTCAAATATTCGATATATTAATAAAGCATGTGAATAAAAACATCGACTATAGCGGAGTCAAACATTTGAAGATATAAAGTAGGAAAAAAACCAACACGAAAGAGTCAAATTTATCAAGATTTATGTTTTGAGAATTATATGCATGCACGCTGAATTCGACAGAGGAAAAAGGAGTACAGTGCCGATGCAACATGAAATTATTTTGATTATTCTAGATGTACTATTTCAAAACGTTAGATTTCAATTCGTTGACAACCGGAAAAACACAAATGACAACGTAATTTTTTTTTTTTCAATTGAATATGGCAAAAGCGTGTCTCTTCTTCTCAGACACTTTCCCTCTATTTTATAATATAAATGAATAAAATAAAAATGGAATGGAGAAATAAAAAAAATAGAGTCCAATAGCAAGCTTAATGCTGAGGTGACAAAAGTTCATTTAAGTTTGGTTAATTAAGAAAGTCAAGTACTGCCAAAAATAAATTTTTAATATAACCATTTGATCGTGGTGTTGTATCTGCAGCTACACGAATACAACGAAGTACCTAGAAAGAAAAAAATAAATATCATTTGATATTAAAAATGAATACATACATTCCATGAAATAGCATTGGTTGCAAGTAAATGTGCAAAAAATTTGGCAACATTTGTTGATTTAACATTTTCAAGACTATGACCAATTTCATATTGATGTTGAAAAAGTTTTTCAAAATGTTCAGCATATTCTTTTTTTAATATTCAAAGTTGTCGACCAAGTAAACCAAAAAACCGTTCATATGTTGGTC